TGGAAACCGAGCTTTACAATGACGTCAAACCATCCCAGATTGCTAATATCGCGTACCAGCAGTTCCCGAGCGAAACACAAGGTATGACTTGAATGTGTACTTCGGCTAACATTTACAAATACTCTCAGAAAAAAAAAAATCTAAGATTTGCTTTCAATTGGATATGATTGGCCAATATTTAACATGCCGTCAGGTTGGAAAACATTTACATGTCTTTCAATTTGTGAAAAGGATATTCCCGGGTATAAGTCCATACTCCCAAATTCAAGCTGATTTTGTGCCTATGGGCTTATATTCAAGATGTTATTGTATTCAACAAGGTAATCGTCATAAAGTATACATATAGCTGATAGGATATTAAAATACAGTACTGCAGGCAAGAATAACCAGACTATGAATTATTAGTGTAAGAGTCATCCTAAAATGAATTACTTCCTAACAACAACTCAATAAGCTGACAACTCTAACAGAGGTGAGGGGTATACAGTTAGAGATGAAAACTGTAACAGCTATCAAACCAAAACAGACAGGAAGGTTCTGGACCATGAAAAACAAATGATTTATAGTGTTGAAGGCATTTTATATACTATTCTGTGTCAAAGTAAAAAAAAAAAAACTTTCTCAACAACAGGTGGGTATAAGGCTAATTTGTTTACATAAAAAACAAAACACACCAATTTTGAATACATTCCTTAATGTAGTTGGATGATTATTTTTTCAGTTTGGATACACCCACTTGTGCCAAATAAAATAAAATGTTATTTTCATGTACCGGATCTGAAATTATTTTTTAGAGAGGGAACTTACAATTTGCTATTCTATACTAGTAGTAGTAGTAAATAGACTGTTAAATAATAATTTTTTTTTTTTTTATTTTTTTTTTTATAAAAGAAGTAAAATTAATCTGGTACTTTATTCTGGCATATATGTTTCTACAACTTCTTACGGTTTGAAAACAATCATTCTGATCATCTTTCATTTTTTATGGAAAAATAATTGTGTTTTGGAAAATAGCAAATAGTAAATTTTTTCATGAGGCTCCAAAAATTTCCTTGAGGGCAGGGACGTGTAACTAGCAATTAATTTTATTTCGCCTTAAACTGGGATATGGTATCCAATGCTAAGATCAAGAGTAACTTTCATATTTTGAATATCCCCTATAATTTATGTCAAGCAAAAATTTAATAGTACCGAACATTATAGCCATTTGCCTTTTCATTTTCTGAATTCATGTCAGTAAATCACGCGTGACTTTATGTACCCGGTTGACTTCCATCAAAGAGTCTAAATCTGCAAGAGGTCTGACTCTTGGGTGTTTCGTTGAAACGCAATCCTATCTCGAAAAGTACTACCACACACTAGAGGGCGTCCTTCAAAAGAACATAAAAGGCAGTAATATCAAAAGCATGCTACATTTATATTATGCAAGTTTGAGTTTTGAACTATAATCAAATTCTAATAGGGTGCCCCCTATCTTGTCGTAGAATTTTGGTTTTCGTTTCATTGTGTGCATGCAAAATTACTTTCAGTCAAACCTCTTGCAATTCTAAACCAAGTTGCTTCCATTCTGTAAGTGGCGGGACACTGGCTGTTGAATAATAAAAATAATAATTTTCTACTTATGTAGCGCATATTGGAGACTAAACTCTATGTGAATGTGAATTGAAGACTTGTCGCAGTTATTATTATTGTGTATATTTTTTTTCCTTGTAGCTAATTATTGTTTGCATTACTAATTGTGAATTGTATTGTAGTTTAAATTACTATAAAATTTAAAAAAATAAAACTACAAGGGCCTGAAGTTAAGATACTTCCAAGATATGGTACTGTATAGTGAGCTGTCTTAAGGGCACATAGAAAAAATTATTAGATTATCATTCTCTTTTTTTAAAAAATTGATGAGGGTGGGAGGTTTTTTTTTTTTGGGAGAGGGAGTGGGGGTGGGGATGGGATTATATCCAGGAATTCCCTGTGATTCAATGGCCTATCCAAAACTAGGCCTAAGCCTATATTCCAGTGAAAAAAATCAGACATTACTCAAGCATCAGAGGGAAGGGAACAAATTATAGTTTCATTGTAAAACACTTCTGAATGTTCTCTGGTGTATATGGCTTATTTTGTCGTCTTCCTTTAGCTTTTGTTTTCTAAATTAAAAAATATTCTTCATTATAGTTTCAATAAAGTGCGCTATTATTTATTTTATTTAATTCCATTGCGAGTTTTCATTTTTATTATGATTCTTGTATTGTTTTTTTTATTGATATTTATTATTATTTTTAATTACTTTTATATAATTGCTTGACTACAGTATTTGAATTATGACAATATGTTGTGTTTTATATTTTATTCCCATTCTGCTGGTGTTACATTGTTGTATGCAATAAAGAAATAACTAAAAACAAATTTAAAACAAACATGTATGCACTATATGCAGAGAATGAACTAAGTATATTCTATACAGTAGTAGTACAATTTGCAGTAACCAATCTCTGTGAGACCGATGGGACTCAAAAGAAGATATATATAGCTGTACATGCTAAGGGAGGAACTACAGCCATTTATTACACTACCTTTTATACTGATTAAAAGCTCCATTAAATACTCCAGGTACTAAATGAGAATTATATTGATATGGAAACTTGCCATATCACCATCCTATTCTGTGGTCTGACATGACATTTATAAAGCTGTTCAAGCAAATAAAGCAATCAAAAAAAGTTATGTTTACTACTCTAAGAGCCTGATCACACTTGAGAGTTACGTCGGCCCAGGGCCGCCTCGGGACCGGTCCAGGGTCGGCAATTTTTAAGTGTGAACAATCAATAAATGTTAAGCCGGCCCTGAGCCGACCTAAAGTTAATCCGACTTTTGAGTCAGCTCAAGTCCCGCAATGAGGACCCTGGGCCGGCTATGGGCCGACCCAACTTTATATCTGAACGTAAGCCAAACCTGAGCCGGCCCAAGTTCGCTCTGATTGCGGTCGATTTTAACATCTTATCTAACCACAAAATTCATTTGAACTGACTTGCGCGAAAAAACACCATTGTGAAATAAATTGTTAAGGAAACTGTAGAGTAAATTGTATTCAGTTGAACTATTGTTTTTGAATAAAAGTTGTTATATATAAGGTCTCTATGCCTAACTAATTATTTCTCACAGTCTCCGTGCGAAGCATAAGCATCATCACACACCAAGTTGTAAACATGGGAAAATACCATGTGATACAAACCTTACGCATGGGCCGTTTGACAGATGACGAAAACTACGACTTTCTTTTCTACAGTTGAAGAATTCCAGTAGAGAAAAAATATATTGGCCTATTACAAGCTCAAGAAACCCAGTTTTTATGTATAGCACACATTAATTTAACAAGTTTATATTCTAAAATCATAACACTGTATAGCGGTATCATTCTTTCTGTGAACGTCATCCTCACCAACCACGTGCATTTTGTGTCGACGTTCGTGAAGCTACTCACATGACCCCGAGGACAGAAAAAAATAATTGTTAAAATTGTTTGTGAATGAACCTAATATGAAAATAATTATTATTGCCAAATAGATTGATCTTGATGCTACTTATTCACAATCTGTGTCCCCGGTCTGTGACCAAACATTGACAGCAACATTCAGTCTTACATAGGCCTATATAGTTTACCCTTGATACAGGTATGGACTTCCAAAATCGCGAGTCTGGTTTTGCACAGAGTAAAGTCGAGCTGCGCTAATTATAGGCCTTGGTTATTATAATAATTATCGTCGCCATAATCATGAAGCAGAATGCTACGCTTAAAAAATCGAAAAAGTATAAGGAAAATATTTGAAATTAGGTTCATGTTTTGTGCGAATTCCATGTGTTTATTCTAGGTTGTGATTTACCGTTCCGCCATCATGTAATGCGATCGCCTCAAACTTCCTGTCTTGCAATTCATCGACCCGGCCCAAAGGAGAAGTGTGAACGTTTATAAGGCGACCCTGGGCCGACTTAAAACAATCACTGTGAACAAAAATTTTGTTGAGTCGTCCCTGAGTCGGCCGTAATTTAAGGTGGCCCTGGGCCGATTAAATACAACAGGCAAAATGCTACACAAAAAGAGATAACTGTGTCCTAGTAGCGTATCTAGGTGCCTTAAAATGATGAGAGAAGATGATGGGGATGAGGTGATTTTTATTTACTTGAGCGTAATCTTTTGTTTCGAACATTTTTAATGGGGTGGAGACGACTGGGACGGGGAAACTTTGAACATTTTTAATGGGGTGGGGACGACTGGGAGGGGGAAACAGAACACAAACCTTTTAGGGGGAGATCCGCCAACTGCTCCGGGGCTCAAAAATGTGTGTGAATGACAGTTGGTGACATCGCACACCTCCCTGGAGGCATCTATAATTTTGCTTTGCTCGCGCAATTACTGTTGAACTTTAGTACAGTATAGGACCGGTAAATAGTGTACAATGAGCTATGGTATAGTATCCTTTTCTACAGCAGGAAAGAAAAGTTTTGTGCGTATTTTGCTCTAGTTGATTATGTCTATTTGGTGTACAGATAATATTTGATACTGGACGTGAGACACCATAATTTTCATGGTCAGAGTCTCAACATATATACACTGTTTCAAATAATGAAAAAACAAATTTAAAACCTTGATTGCATTGTGTGAACTGGCCCACACCAGAAAAAAACCTAAACCAAGGAGGTATACTGCACCTGCAGTAAATTCTAGCTTAAGAACTTTGACCCAATAATATCCTAGGTATTAAAAATTATATATTTTTTTTTAATATGAAAATAAAAAAAACTTGTACACCTTCAGCCTATAGCATAAATTGATTTAACATTTAATTAAAAATAACACCCATATTTAAAGCAAATAAATATGCACTGAATGACATTTATTTGAATATGAACACTTGAAATATTAATGTACATTCATTAAATATGTGCAATAATACTCTAAGTATGTTTTACTTCTTTCAATAATTACAACAAAAAAAAAAACTTACTTAAATTGTAAATGTTAGTTTCTTCTATGCCGGCACAGTTTCGCACAGACAAAGTAGCAATCAATAAAACACAGGACACTAAGTTTTTGAGGTTATCCATGATCACTTCTTGAAGTTAAGGTAAAGTCACACAGCTTACATCACTCTCACTCTACTTGTTCAGTTTCTAAAAAGAAATCCAGGATTTGTTGCTTATAAAGGCGTCCTAGATGAGGTTAACTGACAGCGGTTGGCTGAAACACGATGATGTCCTACAAGCACTGTTGTGTCTTCATGAGCTGCAAATACACAAGTAGAAACTAGTCAATCAAACTTGTCTCATATACAGCTCATATACAGAAGAAAATTAAAAAAGGCTTATATGCACCCACCCTGTCTATTTATCTCAGAAATTTGTGCCCACAGGGTCAGTGCTTTCTAAGTAAGATGCGATGCATTGATGACCTGACAGCAAACAAGATGTCCCTGAGGTAAAAATAAAAAGGGGCGGTAACCTATTACTGTATAGTTGTTCTTAAATTAGGGCAGGAATAAATGGTCCAATGAACATTCTTGTAAAAGTTAGGTCACTGTGACAAAGAATAGGGCAAGTGTAATGATTAATTTTTATCATCTTAAATAATTCTTGCACCCTGATTGTGATAATGATGAAAAAAATAACAATGTTGAAGATGATGATAATGATGATGATGATGAAGATGATAATGATGAAGAGGAATACTGTAGGCCTAGTGCATATTCTGATCACAGTGTAGTCAATCAAGCGAGGAACTTCAACAATAAAGTCAATGTTATTAAAAGTGGATTAATATCGTGTATCGTGTCAGGCAATTCAATGATATAGGCTACAATAAGGAAAATATATTTTCAGTACAGTGAACAATTTTTAGAACAATATTCACATTTCAATAAATCATAAGGAAAAATAAGAATAACAAATACTAATGATATTATTAATATTACAATATATAGCAATGATATTATTAATATTACAATATATAGCAATAATATTACAATATATTATAATAACAATACTTAAGTAAAGTTTGACTGCAGAAAACCTCAATTTGTCTAAATTGATAAAAAAATTATTTAAATCTCAATTCATTTTGACAGTGAATCATTTACTGATCATTGGTTTTTTTGCAAATCATCTTTGCTTCCATCATTTAATCGTTTAGATGTATGCAAAACTTTTTTAATAGAAACATCATGCAATACATTAGCTGTGAATGTAGAGTTGCAAATGTACTCTATATTTACATTGGAATTTTATTAGCAGTCACATAGATTATCTACAGCGATCCATCAACCTCCACACTAAAGGACTGGCCTCATTCCGCAATGTATGTAACATATTGTAAATATCTATTTTTATTCAATTAAAAATGTCTGACATTATATATACTATCGAGGCACATGGCGATGAGTCAAATGTAACAAAAGTGGTCAATGACCGTTGAAAATGTCAATGACGTGCTAACTTCATCAATACATCAATTCCTAAATTTTACAGCATTATCCTCTGCGTTTCCTTGTCATAATATAATCAATAATCATCATGACATCAACAGAGTAACATAGTCATGTATAACACACACACATATATATATATATATATATATATATGTAGGAAATAGTATATTATATAACATAAATATAACACCCTGGCTGATTAGCTCTGATAATAGCACAGAAAAATATCAGCATAAAAAATATGTTTAAAATATAGGAACACAGCATAAAATATGAACAACTGGTGCTTTAAATGGGTATAATAACATTATATAAATAATACATATAAAACAGCACTTCCCTATAATAGTATACTAAACAGCATACTAATACATATATTGATATTTATCAGTAATATTACAAATTACTTAAAGTATGACTATAGTCATATATTACTTAGAACAGTTTGTTATTGATGAGGTAAAGAATGCTTAGGCAGCATCCACAGGACTCAGCATCACGGAACCTATACTGTATAGCCATAGCTAAACCATCTCCCTGGCTAAGTGACTAATAATAAATACCCAACATGGCTGTTAGATTGGTAATAAACCCTACATAAACTATACTATCTAACCTAAAATTTCTATTTTAGGCAGAAAATCAAACACCTTAACTCACCTGTATTAAGTCTACTTCTGAATATTCTCCCATTCATGGTAGCTATCACACAATTTCTTAGCAGACTATAATGCTTTCTCAACTTCACACACTGAACTGATCAAGACTATAGACTAATCAGTGGGTGGTAATCTTCCAAGAAACCCTTATAGATTTGACCAATCAGAATAGAGCTCTCTGAACAGTGGGTAAGACAAGTGATGACAGTGCCTAAGGCAGCTACCATTGACGGATGGATTTTAAGAATTTAATTGGGTTAAAGATTTGTAAAAGCTTGGAGAATGTTTAAACCTCTGACCTTTCCAGAAAAAAAGGAAAACCAGGTACTGTAATGTTTTTAAATGTGTGCTAATGGACATTTAAATAGGAAATAAAAAATGCTCTATTTGATGTTTGACACTAAATTATAATTTCTGTATAATTATGATCACATATTCCAGGGGTGGCACCAGACAAGGCCCAGCGGGGGAAAGGGAGCAGATTCATCCATCTGAGAGAGTTAGTCTCTCCTTCAGGGAGAAAAACACACTTCATCATGGAGAAGAAATAGTTATGTTTTTTTTTACATTAGTTAGACACAAAATCTATTAAATAGCTTTTGAAACACATAAATTTTCATAGTTTCCAGAAGATATGCCCCTAGATCACTTCTGAGGGATGACGCCCGATCACGTCTACATATTATCACACCTCGTCAGAGAATCAGCCCCGTTGGACAAATCCCAGTGCTACCCCTGATATATTCATCTGCTGTGGCTACTGAGCTTGAAATAATGATCTCACACTTGCACATAACTGCTAATAAGCTTCAATAGATAATCGCATATTCATCTGCTGCTAATGAGCTTTAACTGATGATCAAACACTTGCCTAATCTAAGTTTCAATGGATGATCACATATTCATCTACAGCAGCTGCTACTCAACTTCAACTGATGATCACACACTTACCTGTAGATGCTAAGCTTCAATTGATGATCACATATTCATCTACAGAAGCTGCTACTCAACTTCAACTGATGATCACACACTTACCTGTAGATGCTAAGCTTCAATAGATAATCACATATTCATCTGCTGCTAATGAGCTTTAACTGATGATCAAACACTTGCCTAAGCTAAGTTCCAATGGATGATCACATATTCATCTACAGCAGCTGCTACTCAACTTCAACTGATGATCACACACTTACCTGTAGATGCTAAGCTTCAATTGATGATCACATATTCATCTACAGAAGCTGCTACTCAACTTCAACTGATGATCACACACTTACCTGTAGATGCTAAGCTTCAATTGATGATCACATATTTATCTACAGCAGCTGCTACTCAACTTCAACTGATGATCACACACTTACCTGTAGATGCTAAGCTTCAATTGATGATCACATATTCATCTACAGAAGCTGCTACTCAACTTCAACTGATGATCACACACTTACCTGTAGATGCTAAGCTTCAATTGATGATCACATATTCATCTACAGCAGCTGCTACTCAACTTCAACTGATGATCACACACTTACCTGTAGATGCTAAGCTTCAATTGATGATCACATATTCATCTACAGCAGCTGCTACGCAACTTCAACTGATGATCACATACTTACCTGTAGATGCTAAGCTTCAATTGATGATCACATATATATCAGCTGCTACTGAGCTTTAACTGATGATCACACACTTACTTCTATAACTGCTAAGCTTCAATAATCGATGATCACATATTCATCTACAGCAGCTGCTGCTTCTGAGCTTCAACTGATCATCATTCACTTAGGCCCCATAAAAAAATTATTAGTTTATCACCCTATCAAAGAATAAAAACTGATGAGGGAGGGAGGTTTTTTTTTCCCCCTAATCCCGCCCCAATTTTACCGATGATCACAAGTAAATCAATGGTTAGAGACACATACATAAAAAGTCATAAGAATGGAATCAAATTTATATTTAAAACATATGTTTTTGTTGTACCAGCATATTTGCAAGAAACCCTGAGCTTTTCAGGTGAAAAAAGATGGAAAAAGGACCGTTTGAAATGAAAACATGTTGATTGAAAAGAAAAAAAAAAAAAAAAAATCAGATTTTTCCCAAAAATGATGAGGGAGCGGGTGATAAACTAACAATTTTATTTTATGCTTATTTTAGCTTTAACTGCTTAGCTTCAATTTATGATCACATATTTATCTACAGCTGCTACTGATGATCTCACACTTACCTACTGTATACCGTAACCGCTAAGCTTCAATTGACGATCGTATTTACAGCTGCTACACATATGATTACATACTCGTCTGCTACTACTACCAAGCTTCAATTTATGACATTTATCTACAGCTACCAATCATGAATTGATTATTGCATTATCATCAAACCTGCTACTAAGGTTTAACTGATGAACACATGCATTTCTACTGTACAATGAGCTTTTAACTGTGATCACATACTCACAAATTAACTCCAGAGCTTCAGTTGATGACCACAAAATCATCTAAAATACTGCTACTGAGCTTGAACTGATCACAAAATAATCTACACATCTACAGAGAGAATAAAAAAAACAAACTGTAATTTACAGCTGCTACTGAAGAAACCACATCACACAATCATCAAATCTAAAAGCTGCTGAGCTTCAACTGAGGTCAGAAAAAAAAAACTGCAGAGTAATAATATTTATGACCATAATATACACACATCTCAATACTATACTACTGTATACTAGGCTTTATGAGGTACTTAAGGTGCACACATTCACTGGTTGATTTCAACATTCCATAGGTATCACACGTTCACCTTTTCACATTGCAATTTGATGCGGTTTAGCAAAGGTTCCAGGAGCAATACAGCCAACAAATCTTCAGTAAAAAAAAATTTTCATTTCTTGTTGTGTTCTGCATTGTGTTTCCTTGTAATGTAATACTCCAAACTTAGAGACAATGATAATAATAGGCTAGTTCTGTTTTGCATTGTTTCTTTGTAATTGTACTCCAAACTTTGAGATAAGGACAACAATAGGCTGTTCTGTACCTTGACTTTTAAGTATATATTTCAATACATTTAATACATGTTTTTTTTCATTATTTATTTTATATATCTCAGACATTTTTGACAAGGTATCTTGTATCTTATTTTTAGTACAGACATTTGAATTAGATGGAATCAAAAAATTTAATGTGATAAAAAAGACTAAATCAGTAAAAATTATATTGTTTTGGTCTTTTTTGAAATTTATAACTTTTTAAAACTTTTTTAAATCAATATTTTACGGTAGTTGATGTTCTTGGGTTTTCAGATTTTACTACTCATGCCATTAATATATTGTAAATTTTTATCTCATTATGATTTATTTTATTATTCTCATTAGTATTTATTATTATTAGTATTATTATTATTACTAGTACCATTATTACGGTATACAATAATGAAGTGAATATCAACATTCCAGTATCTGTAAAAATTTTATCATTATGAGCAATTGAACTATCAATGTACCTTAATAAAATTTAAAGACATAATTATGTTTCGCCACTTCATCTGAAGACGAAATGACTATCACAAAATATGGAACACATATTTCAGAGCAGCTGGACAGGTGAAAATGAAACCTTGGTTGCTAAGTGATGGCCTGTGTAGTTGATCATGCCTGTGTCTCCAGAGTTGCTCAGGTAACACGCACTCGTTGCGCCTACAGCAATAATCAGGTCAACAAGAATACAGTTGTCAGTCAACAAGGTCAAGTGTATGCGGCATTCAAGAAAACCTGAACAAGGTGATGCTGGCGACAGTCGTGTCATCATAGTCATGTCATGGCGCCATGCCTTCCTCAGTCTTGCCGTCACATTTTTTAATTACAGAATTGTGTTTTGATGAAATACTATATTTATAAGCTTTATAATATGTTCACTGAAATATCAAACGAAAATGGTCCTCTTGTAAAGTTCTGTTTATTGGCATGTTAATTATATAAAAATATGTATCCAGAGGCATGCACCACCTGAGCAAAGGAATGTTGCCAGAAATCAGGAAAACTAATTAACTATAGAATTATACAAGACTATACATGATCAACAACAATAGGGAATTTTTTTCAAGTTTAGAGGACACTATTGAACAACACTCACCTACAAAAAGACATTATTGCCTTTCAAGCAATTATGGTCCTTGGGGTCGATAACTATGTAGCAGTGGTCAATAATCGCACTGCAACTTTCATTATTAATGCAGAATAACGACGGTCAACAGATAGCAACAATGTGAAAAATACTGCCCACGCCATCATCTGATTTTAGTATTCATATCAGAGACGTTTCCTGATTTTTTTATCGAAAGCAGATGATAAACACGAACATAAATGCAATCCATACTTCAATCCAGATTTACTTGATTTTGTGTTACTCAAACTACTTGCTTGTTATTCTCAGTTTGATTCAATCCTTTAAATATTATACAACCTCCCAATAAAACATCCTTAGAAACTGTATAAATAAAATCAATATTGTTTATGCTGTCTAATATGAGATTATTATAAGAAAGTTTATGATTTGCTGATAGCTAAACAATGAAAGTAACTTTTAAAATATTCAATTCAATTATTGGTTTTTCTTTCGATAGATTTCATGATTTTTTCTTTTTAATAGAGAGAAATGCTGATTACAATATTATTGGATACTTTATGGGATTAAATTTAATTATACACTTTGTTATTGATTAACCATACTGTAGAAACTTCTCTAGAAGAAAAATGTTGATTTTATAATGCGAAAATCTTTAGACAATGACCAAAAATAAAATAAACTCACTTCTTAGAGAGCATTTGACAAACAGCGATTTACACAGACCATGGAGGATTTATTCCTCCATGCACAGACCAATAATATTTTTAGAGAAGAATAAGAAAAAAAAACAACTGATGTGCAGTTCAAACGTTTTGAACACCACCCCACACAAAAGTATTTCTAAAATATTTAAATTTAAAAGAGATCTAATAAATCTATTTTAAATTCATAGGGTCATGAGGAGCAGGTATTTTGTGGTATTTTTGTTTGACACTGCCTGAGTGTCTCAGACCTCCACATTGAATTTTTTGTAAACGTTTTGTAAATAATTTTGTTTATCTTCTACATTTGTCTTTTTGTCTGATAATAGTTAACTATTTTTTTGTGTATAATTCTTAAAGTTATATTTTTTTTTGTATTATACTAAACACCAAAACATAATTATATTGAAGCAGTAATTAGTGCATGGTGTTAAAACCTACCAGGTTACCACTTATACCCTTGGGAAGAGATAGACAACCATAAGTCAAGTTTCTTTCCCAAGGACACAAGCATAGTTCAAAGCAACGACTTGAACCACTGACCTCAACATTCAGAGCCTGAAACTCAACCACTGTGACAACCACACCCACGTATATTTGTCAATCAGGTGTGAATAATCCATATTTATATTTTCTAAATCAAATAGAATTTTTTTACACTGATTGGTATGCTTTTTGATATGCTATTCTGATGTGACTTTGATTTTTAATATGGATATGAAGCAGTTCTTACTGTTGAAAGATGATATTATTTTCAAATTAAATTAAAGAAAAAACTGAAGGAAGAGTTTTATTTCGTTGAAAGAAAATTACAACTAAATACAAATAGTTCATCATTTGACAAAGTAAAGAAATTCAATATTTAGTTAAATAAGATTTAAACTGAATATTTATAATTTCATGTTTTTATAACCAAAAGCTACTTATCAGTATCAACTTGCATTTTGGAATTCTGCTTAAAACTTCCTCTGATAATTTCCACCCACTCAGGATTAAATAAGTATATTTGTGCTTTATTTGTACACGACTTAAGAAGGGCTTGATGAAAAATATACACAGTAGGCCTACAATGTTAGTTTCAAAAACTATTAATTTTTATTTTCGTCAGAATTTTGCATTTTTTTTAGATAAAACAAACAAAATTATTATGGCAATCATGGTTTACAGAATATTTGATTATATTTTATATTACACAATACAGCTGCCAGCGACAAGTATTCTCAACTCACAGGGTGTTGTTGAGGGCGCTACGGATTACTATATCGTCAATACCTGGGTAATATTCTAGCGGTTACCATTTTTTTAAATTTTATTTTATTTTATTATTTATATTTTATTATTTATTGTAGCGACAAGTTTACTTGTCACTTACAGTATATTCCAGTATTATACGGACTGTAGTTAACTTTTCTTTGGAAAACTGATACATCCAACATAAACTGAAGGTTTAAGTTTTATTGAAAAAGCTGACACATGGGCATTAACTGATGCTTTTAAGTCTATTTCAAAATAAGCATTATGATACTGTATATAGTATTTCATAGATGTGTCACTTTTAACTAACTTGGTTTCTATGACTTCATCAGTTATTGGCCAAGACAAATAGACAACACTGTCCGAACCGAATTCTTGACTTAATAGCTAACCTCAGACAAACTCTATCTTCCAAGAACTCATTATATTAACCTCGTCATCAATGTTTCTTGGAAGAGCACATGTGGTCCTCTTCAGAGAAAATAAAAACTAAAATTAAAAACTTCTGGTCGATCAAATTACTAGTGAGATTCTTGGCTCGAAATTTTATATACAACTTATAGTTTGAATGACAAGTTTTGATTTAATCAAACAATTCAATTACTGTCTCAGACTATATTTTTGCCACAAAGTATTAAAAATAACTCTATTAAATACCATTTGTAATTAAATACTTGATACTGATATATTTGTTTTATCTCTATTTACGATATTACTTTCATTTAGCCTGTGATGGAGCATACTACATGAGTATATCATGTAAGCTCAAATAATTTTATCTGGTTTCTATTGTATATGAAAATAATTCTTTTAGGTAAAACCAATAATTAATAATACATACTGTTTGGAAATTAATGATACGTACCACTTGTAATTAAATACTTGATACTAATATATTTGTTTTATCTCTACTTCACTATTATTTCTATTTAGCCTGTGATGGAGCCTAAGTGAATATATAATGTGATGGCAAATCATTTCATCTGGTTTCCATTATGTATGAAAATGGAATAATACTAAAGTAAACCAAGAATTAATATGTACTGTTTTCTAATACCCCTTTCAGAAAGACCTGTAAAACGGTATTAATACCGTATTTCTCGAACGCTGGCATTCTATGTGAAAGGGTAAATACACCTAAACGCCGGCTTCAGTTAGACCTCTTCGGGACCTAGTCTTAATACTGCATTAATACCGTAGCGAGTTTTGCCCAACTCGATGTGAAAGGGTACAGGGTGCATTGCCGTCTTACGCACTGAGGCATAACAAATCAGACGGTCACGCGAGCAGCCATCAACCACTGCTGCAGCTAACAAAGCCGATGAAATCGCTAGCTGACGGTTCTTTTAGACGCGAAAATCGGCTGCACCTAGCTGCTCGAAATTCAAGCCGGTCTCGCCTTAAACGCTTCCTAAATTCTTTCTTCCCTTGAACGAAACGCATTAGAAAACTTCTGTTTCTCAATTTATA